GCACCGGGGCTTGTCCCCTCCCGGCAGGCAGGGACTAAAGCTCCTCGCCTTCGCAGGCTCACACGCTGCCCAGGTTGGGGAATGACCCTCCCGCCGGCGTTCCGCCTCCAGTCGCCGGGCGTCTGGCACTCGAGTCCATTTCTCCTCGGGCATAAGTTTGTATCTGGAAGTTGCTTCTCCTTTCGTTTTTCTTCTGTAGAGTTAGGGTGGTTCTTTGCCCTGTCTTTTGCACTAAAATCTTAAGGTTTGTGTTAAGGACAGGTGTCTTGCGTGAGTTCTTTCGTATTTTTGCCTAGTGGAAAGTAAATGTGCGCGCTGCAAAACCTTGACGTTTGCGCGCTGCTTTGTCACATGATTTTTATTAAATGAGTATTTAATCCTCGAGCTGGTAAGTTTGCTTGGCTCTTTTGGGGTGGAAGAACTTGATAGATGCTAATTTGAAGGCATCTGCATAAAGGCTATTTATAGGTTTGCTCCTTTACCCAGCCCTTTCATACAGGCAGTATATTCTCAAGTGCTGTTATGGCATCGCAAGTGTTTTCCTCTTAAGCATGGCTGTTTTGATCTTGACTTAAAATGTTGTTTCATGTGAGTGACCCTGGGCCATCTCCAATTAATGTTGAGAGGCAAAGAGACAAATTACCAAAACATCAACAAAGAGAAGGGTATAAGTAGTAGCAAGAAGCTGCTTTTGCTGAGATACTGGTCAATTTTGTAAAGGAACTCGCTTTTGTTATATGAAAGTGGTTGCCCAACTTACAGCGCTCAGACTTTTTTTTTTTCCTCTGTAAAGTCAGTCAAAGTGGAGATAACTTACTATTTCTCCTTAACTGAGTACAGTTGTTTAGGTAGGGGTTCTTACTTTCAAAATACTGTGTTCCTTGCTAACATATCTTCCTCCTTTTATGCCATCTCTGTGTCACTGAGGAAACTTCATCTTTGCTTTCGTTGCAATTATATTAGTCATAAGTATTTTTTTTTCTTTTGTGTTAACCATGCAGCTTTTAAACTTGTGCAAAATATTTAAGTAAATCAAAGTGTGTGTGTATGTTTACTTTTATAAAATACTTGTATTGCAGTGGAGTAATTGCCACTGAACTTACAAGTGTCACAAGTATCGCTTGCCGTCTCGGGTCAGCAAAACTGTGTTTTGTCCTCAGACTGGATGCTTTCTCTGTAGGTGGGCCAGGTCTGCTGGGTGCTGTACAGATGCAGTGCAGACACAGCAGCCTTGGGAGTTAATGGTGTGTGGCTCTGCTGTGTGTCTTGCTGCTGCTGCTTGTGCTCCAGAATCAGAAGTGAGCACTGATACGGAAATGTGGATTTATGAGTTGACCTTCATTTTAGTATCTCGTACTGTAGAGTCTTCTGGGACTAAAAATACACCAAGAAGCTAGTATGCTCTAATAAGCGTAGCTAATACCGCTGCTCTGCCACGGGGAAATCGGTCATAGAGCATTTGTTACATGTGTGCTGTGGTGACTTGATTTCTCAAAGATGCAGAGCATGCGCAGCTCCTCTGGTTTCACCTGTGGAAACAGAGTCCACTGTTATCACGCTTGTTAATCTCCAGCGCTTTTTATAGTGTTTCTGTCTAGGCTTACTGAATCTCTGCAGGTCGTTGGATGAAACCAACAGGTTATTATAAATTTAGAGTACTTCTTTTGAATTTCTGAAACATTAAACTTCGAATGGCATAATCTTTCAGTAAGCTAATGCCATAATTTCTGTAGATAAAGCTTTGTGAACCCCAGAGCTCGACAAAGGTCCGGTTGTACGTATACGTTATAAGCTGTCATCTCACTTCTCTATATAAGTTTTACAAAAGGTCCCTGTTAGGAATGAGCTAATAAAGTGGTCTTCTTAAGACTGTTCAGCAGATAGCTTCATGTGAAGTTTGTTGTGCAATGTCATCTGCTATAGTAAAGTACTAGTGAGTATCTGTTTGTTTAAATACATAAGTTGACTCCAAGCCGTTGCTGATGCTCTGAGGCTTTGTGAGTGAAGTAGTTAGAAAGGTGCATGTCACAGTGTTACTTGTCCTTTTTGTTCCTCCTGCGGTTTCTATTTCTGAAGTAGTGTCAAACACCACATAAATTGAGCTGCTTGCTCAGGAGGAAGGGTCGGAGCGTGACATGCAGATGGAGAAATGAACAAAGTAATGTAGTGACTTAAAGCACAGAGGACACTGGCAGCTGGAAATGGACTTGAGGTTGTCTGACTTTATTACGCTAACAGTACAACTTTCATATCAAATGTATTTTGTGCATCATGAATTAGATCTATTAGGTCATACTATTCCGAGAAGTTGAGGTCACCATTTAATGCTGTCTACTTAAAAATGAGTAATTCATCCACAAATTAAGAACTCTTATTGAGTACAGCTACTCATATTATTGTGGTTTTGTTTTGGTTTGTTTTTTTGTGATGGTTGACTTTTTTCTGCTTGGCCGAATGGGGCTGGCTTCTGCAAGACTTGCTACACCTGGGAAGATGCATGTAAAAACTTGTGTATTCTCAGGGCCCATCTTCTGTTCCTCCATCACCCTTCACACACTTTGGCCTGTCCTCTTGTCTCTGTGACAAGGCAGTGGATAACTTGCAAGGCATCCTTCCATAATTCAGTTAATCGCTCCTACCAGTGTTCTGGTTTTCAGTGTTCAGTCAGTTCTTCCTGCAGCTGTAATTGCTGAATGCAGCTGTGCCCATCTGATTTAAAAATGTAATGTTATAATATAGTTATCAGGAAAGTTTTCATGCTATAGTTATGTGATGTCTAATGCACTTTCTATTTCAAATGATTTTTTCCTCAACTGTAATTCAGATTCCATGCTAGTTTCCATTGTTGGAATGGCACTGTACACGGGCTATGTGTTCATGCCTCAGCACATCATGGCAATATTGCACTATTTTGAAATTGTGCAGTGATGAAGAACGTATTTTCAAGAAGTAATCAGGCTCTGAAATCTGGTCTGCAAAGAAGAATGAACCTCTTAGTTTTAACAAGACTTCTACCGATGTCAGAAAGACACAGTTACGACTCTGAAGACTAGGAAACGAGATATGTAGAGCAGGGACGTGAGATGTCCCCTATGTTGTGTTCATTCCTTTTAATTTTACAAGATATGCCCTTGTATAGTAGTTTTGTCTACTTTAACATTGTGATTGTACTTTGATATCAGTATTTTCTTAACTTTGTGACAGTTTCAATATTGCACTGTGAAAGCTTTTCTTAATTGTAATTTTGAGTAAATCTTAATTGCCTTCTATTTTTAATCAGAAAGTCATCTTATTAAATGGGGCTTAAAGCTTTTGCTATTGTATGGTATGTATTTGCCTGGATATTTCTATTAATGCGTTTTGTAAGAAAATACATCTAGATTCATATTAGAGACATGGATATATTCATGTAACGCTATTTACAAAAGTTAGTTTGTATGACTGAACTCAGGTGTACTGTTTGCTGTCCAAACTTTGTTCAACAGTATATTTGTGCGGATCACCTAAATTTGGAATTAGCAATTATTTCAAGTTTCTGTATTCCACCTGGAGGAGGAGGGGCAGGGGAGATGAGGCATTTAGATGGAGGGAAGACCGCATTCATTATGTTTGGAGTAGTGCTCTGGTTCTGGGCTTTATCTAGTGGCAGGGGAAAAGGACTTTTCTTTACTGGCACAGGTCCACATAAGGCTTTGGGATAGCACTTTAAATCAACCCTGTTTTTCTAGCTACCAATTCAACTGTACTTTTACAATTGTGTATTATGTTCCAATGTTTATGGTTTCTGCTAACTTTCACTCAACAGTGTGACTATGTCTAGGTTTTAAAGGGGTTTTCTATTGCTGCTAGTGTTCCAAACATGTTCTCGCTACAAACGACCAAAACGTAGGGGTTTAAATGGACTTGAGTTACAACTACAGCAATAAGTAGCTGAATACTTGGCTGAAGTCCTGTCTTTTTTTTTATAGGGATTTTTTTCAGTTTTGTATTCTGAAATGTAAGATGGCGACAACTTTCCTAAGTGGAGGATTTTTTTTTGTTGTTTAAAAAATAAAAGTTTAAAAGCAGAGCTTCGATGCAAAATTTTCTTCGAGAAGTTAATGTGTTTCTGAATGTTGCTTGTTCTTTTCAGAACTTCCCAAAAGGTGAAAAATGATACTTGACCAAAGAATTGTGATTTTTTTTTTTTAATGGCCCAGTAATAATAGGTACTGTTACATCTTTTATGCAACTTCTGTTGAAATGGGGAACTATACCCAAGTTGTACAACTAAATTGTTGTCTTTCAGGTTTATTTGGATTTGTCAAATGCACACTCATGAGAAAAGAGGTTTTTTTCCCCCTATATTTAAGAACTTCAAGTGTATCTGATTAAAAATGCCGTTGTCTTGGAGCTATAAACAGTGGGCATTAAACTTCTTGGGTGAACCCTAGCTTTACTGAAGCTGGTAAGAGTCTCCCACTAAATTAGTGCCTTTGCTTAGTAAAAACTGGCTATCTAAACATGGGTAGGTTTTGGGGTAGTTTTTGTTTTGGTTTTTTTAATGTATCCAGAGTTGTATGTGAGTATTTGAAATATATATGGAGATAATAAGTTAACATACTCTTTTTGAAGTAATGTAGCATGAATTCCTGCTGTCTGGATTAAATCGGTGCTGGATGTTTCTTTGTGAACTACTACCATGACTGATACACATCTACTGCTGAGAAGGGGTTTTAGTTGTTTGGGGGGTGGAAGCCCTTCTGTGCAGTGGAACTAGGAATGTTAAACATGATTTTTAATTGTGAAAGGTTTTATAAAAGGGCTTTGATATACTGACTGTTATTAGCTATCTGCTTTTTGTTGGGGGGCAAAAAAAAAAGGTAACCATAATCTCTAATCGCTTGTGGTACATTGGAGTGGGCTTGATCGATATCATACGTGAAATCAATTTGCTAATTTGCATACAGTCTTTTTCAGCATTTCTTTTTTTATTTATACATCAAGAATCTTGTAGTCTTGCACTGTTCTTTTAGATTCCAGATACTTTGTTAAAAGATGGAATAGTTTCATTAATAAAATACTGTGTGTAGAGTTTGAATTTCTAGAAGAAAGTTTCTGCAATGTGTCCTTTTCATGCAGTGAAGAGATGGTTCAAGGGGTGATAATTATGAAGCAGAGTAAGTTTTCTTTTTTAAAGTAAGGGTATTGGTAAGGATTTAATTAATAATTAAATTTGAATAATAAATGAATCGTAAGACTATCAAGCTGTTTTCCCACTGCAGCCTGCTTTATTGTCATGTTAGTTGGGGGATCATATCCTTATAACTAAGCTTTTTCTGTGTAAGCTGGAGGCCGAAAGCAACTTAAATACCATTTGGAGGCAGCTGGTCAATTACGCTTCTGTTCAAAAAGGGTGATAATAATTGAGCCATCAACTGGAAAAAACAATTGTGAGAAATGAGAAGAGAAATCTGAGTCCTGCAAGTGGCTTTATGTTAGTCTTTTAATACTAATAGCTCTTGGGGTTTGGATTGAGTAATCAGAAATAAGTGTTTAAAGATGCATTAACTGTGTTATAGCACAACTGATAATACCAGCTCCATCAGCCATCCCCTGCCTGAGGCTGGCAAAAGGTGTGGCTGGGGCATCCCGCCCGGGTGGGATGACTTGCTGTGCTGGTCGCTCTGGCAGGAGCCCGCGTAGCCTGCGGCCGTGGTGGCTTCCAGAGCCAGCTCTGCAAGAGGCACCTTGGCTGACATGAGGGCTGGGTGCTGTAGAAATAATAATTAAAATCCTTTGCAGCAGGAGCTCCATAACCAAGAGAGGAAATCGAGGCATAGTATTGCAGAAAGTCGGTCTGGAGCCAGAAACGGATCCAGGACGTGTGTGTATATATATGTCCTGAATCAGTTATATTTACATATATATACACTGTTTGTTTCTTTTTTTATATATATGTGCGCATATATATAAAAAAATAAAAAAGCCCTGTTCATTTCTTGTCAGAAGGTATTACGTAGCAATTAGTTTGGAGACAGAGGCTGTGGGTTGGTTGGCTGTTGGTTTTTTTTCTGGTTTCTTAACAGGTTTCTTAACACTAGAGACTTTCTTGGCAAAATTTAGCAAGAAAACCATTTGTGGATTTGTGTAAATATTCAATATTGGAAAGAAATAGGTGTGAAAGGAGCATAGCACTGTGAAGTTCAATCTTGTGTGATAGATGTGCATTGTATTACTGCCAGTGGGTGCAACTGGTATGATGGGAAGCATTGCCCTGTTCCATTCAGGTGCAGTAATGACGTGCGCGTTGTAAATACTGAAGAAGGGGTACTTGCTGTTAGCTAACAACAAATAAAGGTTATATTGAGGTGAAGAGGCACAACTTGAAAAGATCTGATGGCCATGGGATTAGTGGGCTGTGCACAAAGCTGTGGAGACAGCAGCCATCCTCTGAAATACCAGAGCAGCATAACTCTGGAGCTGGGACCCCAGTAAAGGTTTTTGGTGCCAGAAGTTCCTTTCACCTGCTAATTTGCTAATTTGTTTTCTACAACTGCTATTGTAGAAATGCAGTTTCTTCCCCTGTTGCTGACATGTTATTCTGACACCAGTGCGGGGTGTGTTGTTTTTTTTTTTTTTTTTAAAAGACAAAAGCATGAAGCTCTCCATGTGGTTTGCATTGTTTCTCTGATCTGCTAGGTCAGCCTTAAAGGGTAGTCATCACCGAGCACAATAGCTGCTGTCTCTTCTGCCTTCTGTTTGTGTAATGATGGTTTAAGGAGAAAATCTGGCATCATTGTCCAGAGCTGGATCAAACTTCCTTTGCCTGTAATGGGGGGAGATGAAATTCTAGATTAGAAATATCTCAGCATGGGATTTCAGCAGAAACCCCTCTGCTTTTCTTAACCTTCATGTTCATCACAAGATCCTTAAACCATCTGAAGTGTCACGGCATGATTGAAGACCAAGAAATTATGACCATCCACTCTCCTTGAGAGTTTGGCTGGATAAGAGCTGAATAGGCCTTGATGTAAACCCGATTCCAATGCTGATCTGATTTATAAAGTACTATTAAAGTTGAGCTTTTCTTTTCTACAGTAATTTTGCAATGGCAGCAGGTGACTATCTCAAATGTTGCAAGTACTGACAGTTAAATAAATTGGGGAATGCCATTATGCAATACCTTATCACTAAATGTTTAACACAATGTACAAAAGCTGGGAGGCAGCCTTGGCTGAAAGTCAGCCTGTGCCAAGGTTGTGCTGCTGGTGCACCTCTTTACGGTGCTCTGTGGATTCAGTGAGCCATCCAGCATGTATGCTTAACAGAATTTGGCTTATTTGTGGGTGGAGTTCTTGTTGTATTAAAAAAAAAAAAATCCCCCAAACCAAACTAACTTGAAGGCACTGCCTAGCACTTTATTTTATAGGTAGTACTGCTTATTTTAATAGTGAATAAGATGATGATGTACATGTACAATTTATAAGCTGCATCTGTTTATGGATCAGGTATTTAGACCTTATCATATGGATATACAGAAGTATGCTATATTTTTTAAGGAGCCCTGTCAAATATCAGAGAGTCTTGGTTTACACTTACAACAGTTCCCTACGTTTTGCTGTTGCTAAACGTATGTGGTACCAGAAGCTTATAACTCCTTGTCATTTTGGAGTCTGTTAAAGAGATCCCACTTTCCTGTGTGGAGAAGACCCTCTGTTAATGGCATTCGTCATTCTGGAGGAATTTTTAAAAGAGTTACAGTAATTCTAATCTAAAATTGGTTCATTATGAGAAATCACAGGGAGGGTGTGTACAGTGGGATTGATATCAAAGAAGAGAGGCTGGAGAGAGGTTTGAGTTTGGCCAAGCAACAGGATGAACGGAGGGGTGAAGATTCTTTTACAAAGCCTCTGGTTGCTGTGAAACTTTAGCAAAATGGGTTTTTC